GAATATGAAAAGCCAAATCTCGCTGACTTGTAATTAATTTTGCAATCAAACTGTATTCAAAGGTTGGAATTCTATTTCTTGGCTTTTTTCTATGTTTATTGTGAAAATTTAGCCAAAGCTGAATTCTTTTAAATCCGTGTATTCCGTAAATTCACGCATTAAAAGAAGTTATTTATTAGCTGTATAACTACATTTAGCCAAGTAATGATGAAAACCCTTTCGAGCATATCAAACTTACACCGGAAGTCATTGTCCTTTCCATCCAAAGTATATTACAAAAAGAAGGCCCAATAAGTTCGAATGGAAAATTTATAAGCCAAGTGGATGTTTTTACTGCACAGGCAATCCATCTAAATATAATCCCCAATTTATGCAATCACTTGCTGTTAAAACCTCGTTGAAAAAATTGTGTAATTGGCTGCCGTTGGTCTGACTTTCCTCTCTGGATTTTTTGATTCCCGACTAATGACCCAATTCGCGCTGATATCCCATTAACAACAATCGACACTTTTGTTTTCGCCAACTCATGGATTTAATTATTTACAGCTCTGTACAGCGGTTTCTCATTTATTTTTATTTTTCGGCCAATCACTTCGATCAAAGCCAGACAGTCTAAATTTAGGCAACAGCTGCCAGAAGGCCTGACTGATTGATATCCGCCAAGTCATGGCGTTAAAGAGTTGTAAGTAATATTCTTGTTTTCGGTGTCACTGAATACCAAAATGTTGTTAAAAAAATATGGAAAAAACCCCTCAGTTAACCTGATCGATATCACGTACTTTTCTTATGTTTTTTTTTTTTTGAGGTCAAAAAGTTATCTAGGCAGTTCCAATAAATCATGACAGTACAGAGTCGTGGCCTCTTCACAGCACCACTGCCGGACCACGCCCCCTAACCGACCGCCCCTGACTAACTGACTAACCAAAACTTTTTAATTTTTTCTCTTCTCTTTTTTTCGGTGGGCCACCACGTTCGGTTTGCCAATCAACTGAAAATGACGGCCAAAACCAAAAGCCGCCGCAGCCACAGAATTGTTAACATGTTAACTTGGCTTAAATGCATTATGATACGAGTATTTTTGCCTTTCATACCAGCATACACACACACGCCTACATTTCCCTGGCGCAATTCGCAAAGTGTTTGAGTGGATAATGGCGAACTATTTGAGCTGATTGGCTGCCGGATGGTGGATATGGATATAAGTGCTCTTCAAGGCTTCATCAATATGTTTGCCAATTATGACTACATTTCGTATACTATACAAGTCATAGAGAATTCTGGAGAATTTCTTAAAAAGCAGATTATTGGCTTGTTTGCAGAGCATTTGAAATTCACCATCGTTGAAGGCATCGTGACCCAATCTCCCAACGTGACAGCTTCCTTTTCACGTCAGAAATCAAGTTGTCTGCTTGCATTTGGGACACTTTGTATATCTGATTATTTGAACACTCGGACAACCACTCGTACTTATTATTAGTAATTGTTTGCAATTAGTCATCGGCGGAGGCTGAGAAACTGAGACAAAAACGCCGAGAGACTTTGGCAATCGCTAATTTATGCAAGGCTCAGTTCGACTTTTTGTGTGTGTTTAGTGGGAACGTGGAGCGAGGAATGAGGAATGAGGAACGTGACGATTGATACGACTTCAATCCGGGTCAGAGTCCGAACCGTAGATCATCATCCCGTTCAGGGTCTCGTCGGCACAGCTATTGCCGGATTACTCATAAAATCGAAAAATTAAGTCCCTGTAATGGGCCGAAAACGCTGGCAATTAAATCAAATCCAATGAGCACTGAAAAATAAGCACAACAACTGTAGCCCAACCTTGCTAATGTCTATGGGCTGCCATTAAAACTGAAACGGCAACAGGCAACAAGCCACAAGAAACAAACACCGAACAATGGCAGTGACTTCGTCGATGTCTTTACATTTAATTGCACCATTGGGCACACGGCAAAGTGAACTGTCAGTAATCTGCACAATGTACCCCTCGGAAGCCCCAACCCCCTACCTCTTTAGCCTCCGATTACCGCTCCATTGGATCTCCGTCGTCTGCAAGTCGCTCGACTTAAAGCCATGTCAACGTCGCCCGAATTAATTGATGCGCCATGAATTGCCGTTCAATGGCAGGGACAGTAGTAAAGTCGCTTTCCAGGGCCGATGAGGTTCCCCAAAGAAGTCGAACACATGGCAGAGGTATTCAAATATATGCTATGTGCTCAAAAATCTATTGGGATACCAAAAATATACAATTCAACAAACTTTTCCCTAAATAAACGTGTTAAATAGGACTTCAAAGTGCAGTTCAACAGAACTCGAAGCAGTTAAGAACTTCTAGCTTTGTCTCCGGCTGAGCAGCTGACCCCATTTGGTGTTCGGGTTCAGATAGAAGATCGTATGCAAATTGCGAACGCCCACATGGGCGTGGCACCGCTGCAACAACAACGAGAAGAACTAGACAATGGAGTCTGAGGTCCGGCCATTAAAGCTAATTTCGCTGTCATTTTCGATTTGGCAGCTTTTGGTTTTCGCAAAGCAAACGACCCAGGCAACTGAGACTAATTTCATAATTTTCGTATACTCGCATATATATTTTTGTATTTTTGGTTTATGCAAAACGCTGTCGCTGTATGTGTGTCAAAATCTAATTCACCTTAAACTGATTTCGAACGCATGCAACTTTTAGTCAGTTTGCTTAGTGAGTCTCACCAGTCGACCGACTGACTGATTTTGGCTCGCCTGCCTTCGCATTTGCTATTGCTTTTCAGCTTTGCTTTAGCTATTTTTGCTGCTCTTGCTTTTGCAATCGGTCGGCGAGATACAGTATCTCCAGTTGAGCTCCAGTTGGGCTCGGTACCAAGCGGCGTATGCGTAATTTGTAGCCTGCCATGCATGTCTGCCTGCACTTCCACACTTTTGCGCCAGTTGGTCGTTAACCCAGGGCAACGCCAGCCAAAAAAAAAAAAAAAAAACAAAAGCTGCCTACCGGTTACCGGTTATCCTTCAGAGCGGCGACAGTCCGCCGCCGAAGGTAATGCGATTGCCCAGTCAGAAAAGAAAAAAAAATGGAAAATCACATATAAAAACCAAATAAAAGAGCGATGCTCGAACCAATAATCAAATCGAAGTGGTCGAATCCAATGGAAACGATCCGCATCGAGTCGCATTGAGCACTAGCTTCCGGTTCACACTGCCAGCACAGTGATCTCTTTAATAAAAAAAATAATAATTCAAGTACCTGTGGAAAACCAGATCAGTTTATGTCTAATATAATAAAAACTGGCAGAGGAAATTGGGCTTAACAACGAAAATGGCAAAATATTATATGCAATTTTCTATTACAACTGCAACCTACCTAGGCAGCAAAAAACTATAATTTGAAAATACAGATGTCTTAAGATACCAAAAGTGTTACAGAACCCCTTAGCCAGGCCCCACTGTAGCCTAGGAGCTGGAATTCCATTCACTTGCGCACGGAAAACTATCAAAAATGTCGTCCACAACTGCTAGTTCCGATTCCTCAGAAGGTCAAATTAGCACTACATCTTCATCTCCATCGTGATAATGGCCACAACGATCATTATCACCATGATCGATCATTCAAGAACAACTCATAACTGTCGCTAACCACAGATCGTCGACATTGTCTTGCGGTTGGTCAGTATTCGATTTTGAGTCTCTTTATTTTTTTCCTTCGCGCCTTTGTGACCGGCCGAAGGTTTCTGCTTCTGATTATCATCGAGTGGCTTTTGGCCAAAGTGCATGGCCAGCATGACAGGGCGGAAATTTTGTGGCCAGCCTTTGGGCCCAGTTAGACCCTCGAAGTGCCAAGTGGTGGGCCACTCCACAGAATTTTTGGGCCAAAGACCAAGTTCAGTGAACTTTCTGGAACCCTTAAAGTGCATGAAACTTTGGCAGGAGTTGTAACGAATTCTACGTCAGTTAACTACGTACCTTTAGATTTCATCAATAATAAACCAAACCGTTACTAATATCATAAAGTTGCATTAAAAAAATGGAGTTTGATTAACTTGTCGTATTGTACCTTTTATAATACCTATTCCTCCCCATTAGCATTTAAATAAGTCATTAAAAACTATGTTTTATTTTGCCAACTGAGCTTTATTTCTTAATCATAGAAACTGGCAATGTTTTAGGAATTCATACATTTGAAGTACCTCTGAATAGTAACTGGAAATATTCTGAATGGTGGGATGTCACGACTTCCATTAACCCCACGACTTGGCTGGCAATTTTCATAAAATTTTCCGTTTCAAGCCAAAGACATCAGTGCTTTATTTGTTTTCTGGCTAACTTTCGGAATGCGGAATGGTAATGGCCAGGCACTGCAATCAAATCGAATCAAATTGAAGTGTCCGATTGTAGCGACTGGCAATATCGATAAATGCAACTGCAACGATTATTCGGTATCGCAGGGAAGCGGCAATAAAATGCATCTTCGAGATGCGCAGCTGCACAGGAGGTTGTGTAAGCCACTAAACTAAAACTTCAAAAAAAAAAACATGGAAAGAAAAGGGGGAAAAATCGAAATTAAATAAAAAGGCAAAAATAAAACTGCCTCTAATCCTGGCCACGGCCCACTGACAAACTGAGCCAGCTGATGGAGATTGACAAACTGACAAAGTGAAGCTGGCAGTCACGAGGCGGAAACTTTTCGCGTAATCGTCTTGTCGAAAAAAAAATGAAAAATGGTGAAAAATACAAAAGACACAAGAAAAACAAGCTGCAGGAGGTACTCGTAAAAAATAAAAATAAAAATGAAAAACAAGGAGAAAAAATATAAATGAAACGCCAGTGGAAACCACTCAAAAAGCCTGGTCAAGCTCTCAAGCGACTCAACCGACTCAAGCTTGACTTTTGGCGCTCACTTTCGTTTTCGTTTCGAGCGGAACTCGAGCGGTTCGACTTGGACTTGCGGCGGCTCAGGCGGTACGGAGGCGGTACGGCGGGCGTTTTTTAGAGGCGCCGCTGCCAACGCCGCTGCCGGCGTACACAGCGCGCTTTGTCTCGAGCTTTAGTCGCTTGTGTGTGATAAAATCACGTTAGTAATCAATTGCAGGCCCAACAGCCCAGACCACAAAGAGAAGCAGTCGCAGTCAGTCGCACCACCGATCCACGATCCACTGATCCACCGATCCACGCAATTGTTGCAGTTTCTTTTTTTTAGAAAAAAAAGAAATATATTTTTTTTTGGGCTGTTTACATTTTGGCCAAAACGCGTATGTATCCCCTCCAGCAACTACAATGTGATGTGCTACAAAAAAAAAAGAAATTCGCAGAGAAAAAAACTGTTTTCGCGAGGATATCAAACAAAAACTAAACCATCATAAAACGGATTGAAATTTAACCAAAAACATTGTATTACATTTTTTTCACATTTTTTTTTGCTGTGCCTAACAGTTTTTAAGGAATACTTGGCTTGTGAACAATAATATAAAATAACTGAAGTATCAAAAAAAAAACACCGAACAAATCCGAAGAAAAAACATAAATACCTGACGCGTGTGCTGAACTATTTTCGGTTTTGTCTCATTTCTTATTTGCTGCATTCATTTACCTTGTTTGGATTGCCCAATTAATACGAGTTGGTTAACACAAAAACGTTTTTGATTGCCAATTTTCAAGTTGCGTTTCGAGAGGTTTCGTGTGCAGTGCTGAAATCGATTGGCGAGGGGCTTTATCTGGCGGGTACTAAAGTGGAACAGATATGTTCAGGGAGAGTATCGACAAGCCGGCTGGACAATATTCAAATATCTGTAGAAACTTCGATGCTTATTCAAAACAGGCCATGGGCATTTCAAATAATATGTCTTGGAGTTTGCTAGCATTTATTTAGAATATTTCAAAATCAGCCCCAACCCCTCTATACTTGCCTTTATAAGCAGTACAATAAATAAACTTATTCAGACTTCTCTTTAGACAGTTTTTGGCAAATAAGTTAGCAGGAACTTGCAAAGCTTCGCAGCTCCTCTAAAAATATCATGCATACGCACCGTTGCCGCGAACCCAAAACCTCGCAAGGGCGAATTTTAATTGCAAACTGTGAGACACAGGAAGTGCACTACTCGAGTTTCTTATTATTTTCTTTTGTTTTGAAAACGCCCAATCACTTGGCTTAAATTATATTTCGAAATCCCTCAGATATCCGTAATCCCACTCAAGCCTTGATTATCGCTGTTGTGTTTTGGGGGCTTTGCCTTTTAATTACGACATGTCCATGCCGAAGCATGCACTCAATGCCAGATGCGGATTTTACGTTTTTATGAGTTTTATGATATTTGTGCAATTGCCAGTGAGTCGTAATCATAAACAGCCCCCAGTTCCGTATGCAAAAACAACAAATTAAACCGAATGGTAGATGTCAAGTCACGTTGTTGATCACTGATCACTTTTCGGACAATTGTTAGAAGCAAATGGATCAGCTCAGGGCAGGCGCGAGAAAGAGTGGGAAATAGTGTGAAAGAGAGAGAGAGAGTGAGAGCGGGGGAGAGAGAGGGGGAGAGCTTGAAAGTAAAAGCAACAGCCCCAAAGATGACATAACATCTGGTGGAGCTCAGTTGTTGCCGGTTTTCGCTCTTTCTCTTTTGCTTTTCTGTTGTGGTCGCCTTCGTTGGATTTTTTGGCTTTTGGCGCATACGCCCTACTTAACAACCAGCAGTCTTTGGGCCAAGTTAAGACGGGCCAGCGATGACGATGACCGGACCATCAGCGTTGCATGTTCGCCTCGAGGTGGCAATCCCCAGTTTCGAAGTTTCCCCCTTTCTCGACGCTTTTGTATTGCCAAATTGCCGGAGTGATTGCCTGATTGACAGCAAAACAAAACAGCAGCAAAGGCGGCCAAAACAAAACGGCCCAAAATACGCTTTCAAGTTCATTTCTTGCATGCCTCAGCCGAAGATGACTTGGCTCTTGGGCTTTCGGAGTTTCCCCGCGTTCATTTGTTATGATTTTTAATTGGGTTATATAGTCTTACCACTAAATTTGCAGAAGTTGCCAATATAAAAATAACTTGCAATAGAATTACAACATTATATCAAACATGATCAAGAAGAGTTGCTGCATATTTTTCAAGAGTTTTCCAAAGAAGAAAGCGTTAAGCTACTGCACAATATAAGATCGAGAAACGCTTACATGGCTTCAACAGATTGTATTTGTCGTTGCATTTGCCCATTGGCGACGTATTTCAATCTGTTATTTAAGTTTTCACCTGCTGATCTCAAATTGGCAAAGCCCTAACCTTTGAGCCCGCAATGTCATCTCACATTCGTGTCAAAGTCTAATAAGGCAATCAGCGATTCTAATTTACGGTTCCCCTTACTTTGTACTTAGTTTCTCTCATTAAATTCGCGATGACTCATAACTTTGCATAGCTGTTGACCAAAGAAATTATACCCCTCACTCTTTCCACACTCTTGAAGAAAGATTCAATTAGAGCTCCGAGTTTGGTTTGTTTTAATGCAGTTTCTCACATTTTTGTGTGTAATTACGAATGATGCCTTGCTTTTCGCACCTGTCTGCCTGCCTATCTCTCTCTGCCTCTTTCTCTCTGCCTCTTTCTCTGGGCCTTATTCAATTTCTTTTTGAACAAAAGCCCAGCTTTAAAAAGCTTTGCGCGTAGAAATTGCACAAAAAATAATACTGGTTGCTGCTGCTGCTGCTGGCCAAATATAAAAAGTGAAAAAAATTACATAATTGTTTTGTTGTGATTTATGAATCGCTCGCCGTTGCAGCACACTAAGACTGCTGGCATTACTCATACGCCGAGTTGCCCAAGAAATGTCCAATATTTAAACTTGACCAAAACCACCGCCATAGCTGCCCATTGGCCATTGGCCATTGGCCATTGGCCATCGCCTATTGACAGTTATCGTTAGCATCCGCATCGTTTCAAAGACCTTGGGGCCAGAGAATAGCCAGCCAGCCAAACAAACAAACGGTTGGATAAAAAAGATTTACGAAGACCACAGACTCGAAATCAAACAAGATGTTCGTTTTTATCGATTCCACTTTATTTGTCTTATATATTTTTTCGGTTTTTTTTCTGTTCGATTTTTAAGGTGTAAGAAACGCGCGCGAGACAGAAGGTCACCGCCGCCCGCTGACCTTTAACCAGAGTTTGTCGCCGCTTAGTCCAAGCATTATCATTAATTAGCATGTTATCTCGTTCCAGCACACCCACACACACTCCCACGTCCCGCTCACACACACACACGCGCGCACGCGACAGAGACAGCATGAGCCAGCCAAGCAGACAGCACATCCTGGCGCTCCTGATCCTCGGCAGCGCCGCCTGCCTCATCACCGCCGTACCGCTCCCGCAGCCCGCGAACGGCAACTCCGAGCTGGACGTGCTCCAAATCCCGCTCGCCAATGGCAAGGTGAGTCCGCCCAATTCTCGATGCTTCTCTGTATGTTTCTGGATCAGATCCGATCCGACTTCATCGACATAAGTTGGGCATACAATCTCAGAGATACGAGCATCCATCAATTGATGTTCTGCTCGTGCTGAAGTGCGTAATAAGGCTATCAATTTATATAAATATTTGCTCGGCTGACTGTATCAAGTTAATGATAAAGTAGTCAAAAGCCAAACAAGCGAGTGTGTAAAACCAATATTAGACTCTTTCTCATTCGCGGGGGTAGTTACAAAAACCAATTAAAAGAATGCCGAGGTAGAGATACATATGCTGTAATACAGCAATTGAAGTCCATAAGGCAAATTGGTCAAGTGCTGAGGCTAGTGGCACATGTGCTGGAACTCTTGGAGCGACTCTCGCTAGCATTCAGTTGACGCAGAGTAGCGCGTGCTGCTGCCTCAGTTGCCCTTTCGACCATATTTGCTTGACAAATTTGCACTTGGATTGGGTTGCTTTTCGGAAGGGGAGGGGGCGGCCAAACATGTTTGTTGGCCACTCGGCGAAAACTTCCTTTTACTTTTCGAATTTTCGTTTTGGTTTTGGTTTTGGGTTTGTTTTTTGGCCATTCGGCTTTTGGCCCGGCCAATTCGGGTCTCGGGGTCTCTGGGCCCGTCCAACCTGCGTGACTGGATCAGAGTTTCGATCTCTTGGAGAGCAGGCCAGTACCAGTTCCAAGGAAGTTGGCACACTTGGTGGTACCTGTTTCCTTAGCTGCCGTTTGCCCATGTGTTGTTTTGTCTTACACTAGGCCTCAGCTGGGTGTTGGCCTGGCCAAAAAACCGGACTCTTTGCCCGTTGAGTTGAGCAAGCCCCGAGCTCTGCTATTTTATTACTTAATTGCCGGGCGGCTAGACAGTTCCCCACAATTCCCATTCCCGCTCGTTGTATTCCCATACCCATACCCATTCATACTCATACTCATACTCACACCCATAAGATTCGATCATCGTTGGGGATCATTGTATCACTGTGTCGGCAATTAGCACCCGTACACCCAGCCCCCTGCTAATTTGTTAGCCGAACTATTCGGCCAGAGAGCTGGCCAGTTTAGCATTGTTTTATGTCATATTTTGGCTTTCACTTTGTGCAACAAATTTGCACAAATCTCCGAAATCGTTAAAATCTCCCCACAGCCTAAAGGCTGTATGGCCACAGCAGCAAAACTCGAAAATATAATTGAAATCAATGTCGCAATATTTGTCAATCAAAGCTGGCATGCAATTATAGGGGTGTGAAACCCCTGAATTAAGCGCATACGATCGTTTTTCCTGGTAAAAAGTCGTATTCCTGGTCTGGCATTCAGAAAAGTGTGCTTTTTGACTGATTTAAATCCAAACTAAACATCATACTCCCAGCTTCATTTTATACAGTTGAGCAAAAAAAAGAAGCAAACAATTGCGCTGCTAACACGATAATTAAATGAACTTTTGTATTCTATATTTGTGAAACCATAAATCAAACTAAAACCATGCCAGAAGTTATGCACAAACGCGGTAGTTAGGAAGTAGCAATAGGTATTTATCTTAAGTGGCAGCTAACAAATATATTTTAATAATATGCACATGATATGCTAAAAGTTGTTCCATTATGTACCCATCCTTTCTAACATTAGAGCATTAAAAATGTTTGCTAAATTGCTTAACAGAGTATGAGCAAACTTTTAACTTTGATACCACGCGCCACATAATTATAAATACTTTATGCACCCACGCAATTTACAATAAAATCTTTGAACATCTGCTGAATGGGCCAAAAAAATAACAAAAAATTCCAACCGAAAAGCAAATGTTACACAAAACGGTAAGCATTTGTTGTTGCCCAATTTGGCTCTGTGGTTGAGAGCCAAAACTGGGTCAAAATTTAGCCCACAAAACGCTGATACGTTAATGAAGTCGAAGTCGAAGTCGAAGTCGCAGTCGTAGTCGTAGTCGCAGTCGATGTGCATATATAGATACTTAAACTTATACTTATATATAGTTCAGACGTAGATGCTCATCTCGGCGTGTTGACATGGCTTGCGCCATAAATCATTTAACGAGACGATGACAATGGCGATTGAACTAGCTCTCGAGAAGAGATGGGTCTGAAAAATCGGCGAACATCGCAGAGAAATGTATATAAATAGCGAAGCTGTGGACAATTTTCTTTGCGATGTCAACTGCAATGATATCTTCATTGTTGCCACTTTAGTTTGTTGCCATTTTATTTGCTTGCCTCTTTCTGTCTGCCTGCTTCAATGCGATACGTATCGTTTGCTTTGCTCACTGGCTTCCATTGGCATTCAGCACGTGGCCAAAATGATATAACAACAATTGGAGGAAACGAAGGCGACTCCGAAATATCTTCACTGCTCCACAGATCTATTAAGCTGGAAATTCGAAATATATTCTAATAGCCGTGCTTAAAAAACATTAAGCTATAATATATAGAATAGTTTTGCTTCCCAGCCAAGTGCACGTCCACTACCCAGTGACTGACTTGCCGCTTATGTAACCACCACCCCCAGCTGCACCACTGCACCACTGAACCACTGCACAACTTCCTCTCTTCGCGCTCCTGCACACATATCACGCATACGCCGCGTTGTGCGACAAGTAAAACGTCAATCGCAATCCACAATTTCCACAATTGTTGCTGCTGCTGCTGCTGCTGCTGGCAATTTGTTGGTAGCTGCATTTTTGTTAAGTGGCCAACGAGACGCACTTGCTGCCTCGCCTTGGCTGTCATGCCAGTCAGTTGGAAACCAAAGACAATTTATGCGGCAGGGAGTCCAAGTGGTAGCCTCTATGCCACTAAAAATATGCATGTTATCTCTGCGCGATTAGTCAGTGCCTCAGAATAATTAAAGCCCGGCCATTATCCAATGGTCCGTCGGGTGGTTCGTTTGATTTATTCATTTTCGAATTCCAGTTTCGCCCATTTTTCAATTTAATTTAATTGTGTCGCGTATTTTTATTAGCCGCTTCAAGCCGAACAAGGCCTCATTGGCCGGCTGACAAGTGGCTAAAAGGCAGCCCACTGGACTAGCTATGGGCGTGGCACGATTTATCTGTTTAGATATAGAAAATAAATCCACTGCGGTCATGGCACGCACTGTCGCTAAAGGTCGCACTCGCAATTAAATTGGAATTTCAATTTGGTTTCATGGAATGTTGTAGGCCATATCACCACCAACTAAATGCCCTGTAAAAACATATGTTTCCAATAAATAAAGCTTTGGGAGTAGCACCTAGGTTCAAATGCCAGCATTAATACTCCCTAAATGTCATTTAAGGCAGTGAATATTTATAAATAATAAATGTAAAATTAAAATATACCAGTTTGCATGGTTAATTTAATTAATTTATGCGCAATCCGTGAATTATCAAATCTAGTTTTTTCGAGTCGGGGCTTTTACACTCGCATATATACGAGTATCTCTTTCTATGAGATCTTGACTATGACAGTAATTTGTGGCATTTTTATTGAGTCGAGAGTCGCCTTAAGTTGGTTAAGGTCAAGGCGATTTTGAAGCGTTTTTAACAATTTGTTTTCTTTTTGATTATGCGTCTCTCTCTATTTGATGACTTTTTTGGGCGAGCTGGTCAATCGATTAGCGTTTCGTTTCGTTTCGTTTCGATTCTATATAAGCGATGTCTTCCGCCTTGGTAAAACTGAAACTGAAAATGAAAATGAAATTCCCAACATACTGCAGACTGCTTAAAATTCACAGCATTCGCTTTAATGACGTTTGCCACGAGGCAGCTTCTGGGCTTGAACTCATTTGAAATTCATTAAGATGTCCCATAAAAACGTAACTTTTGCCTTAAGTAGTTTCTGCCCCCCCCCCCAACCCATCTGGGCAATATCCAAACAATTGTCGCACTAAACTGACACTGACAGACAGCTTAAAATATGATGAATACTTCTGGGTAGCGAAAGCAGAAAAGAGACAGGCACTGCTAGTTGGCAACAGTTTGTTGGCCAAACTAGCAAAAGTTTATTTTATGCTCCTCATCATCATAATCATCATCGCTGCTGCTGCTGCTGCTGCTGGTGACTTCCGCCCGCGTGTAAAAGTCAACTTCCGCCCCGACTTTTGAGTCAATTAAACACTGCAAGAGCAGCAACATCCACTCTGCAGACGAATAAGTAGATACGAGTGCGTATATTTGAGCTCTGGGGATACCATTTCTACCTTTAAGTAGCATTCCGAAAGTTAACTGGCTGCGAAACGTGACTATTTTATGGAAATACCCAGCTTAATTCCAAATACCCAATCTCATTAGGTGGCCAAGATGCGGTTTTCAGCGAGAGGCCAGCAAATTTGAACACATACAAAAGCCATTAACGATCAGCAATTAACAATTGGAATAATGGGCAAGTGGTATAGACAGTGGTAGAATATAGACAATTGCCTCATTAACTTTAGGTGATGTCGTCGATGATAACAAATATGAAAAAGAGTTGTCAGTGTATATTTATAAATAATACTTATAGAGTATAAATATTTGGCGCATATATTCATAAATGCACTTGGAAAAGAACATTAACATTTGTAGCTCTAATTAATATTGAGTTAAATCTTATGCTTCCGAGTTTTGAAATGTTTCTACTCCAGACACCTTTATAAGTAATTTTAAAACGAAAGGCAATAACCCACTTCAATGTTATCGTTTTCAATAATGCATTTTTGCAATGACAATTCCATTAAGAGTATTAAAACTTTGACTACATTGTGCGATATTGAAATGCTTGGCCAGCACAATCTTATTTTCTATTTTTTATTCGTTGTCAAGGAGCGGAAGAAACTTTTCCAATTGTTAAAGTGTTGACGCTATATTATTAGATTGTGCTGCTTTTAAGCGGCTTGGAATCCCTTGCACCTGGTGGCACCTTGACAATTGTTGCAACTCAGGAGTTGCCGTTGCTTTTTTGCTGCTTAGTGACTCGTGCTGTTGATTGTCCCAAAGTTGGTAGTCGTCTCCTTGGTCACTCATTCAGCCATTCAGCCATTCATCCGCCGCCCACAAAATGCAATTTTAATGCAATTTGAAAATTTATTGTGCAATATTTTCTTAGCTTAGACGGCTTATTGCTGTTGTTGCCGATGTTGCCGATGTTGCCGCTGTTGCCGCTGCACAGTTGGCAATTGCCCATTAACGTTAACAACTTTTTGCCCAGTCACTGGGCTTTCTGGGCCTGGGCCTTTTGAGATTAAGCTCCCTGACTCTTGGCTTTGCTTTTGTTTTTCGGGCCAAGGAGCAGCTGCACCACCACCCACTCAACTAAGCCCCTGCACCACCCACTAAAGTGAACTAAACTGAACTTAAACAAGGGTCACTTAATGCGGTATTGGTGCAGTGACTAAAGATCCCTTGTAACCACCGAGAAACACCAAGAAAATTACAATTTACACTTGAAACTTGATTACACAAATGACATGGGGCGACCCCCCTGAAAAAGGAAGGGGGATGGGGTTAGAGGGGTGCCAGCAGCAACTCATTGTCTAAAGTGAAAGTTGTGTCAATTTGCAGGCACTTTGGGCTCTTTTGTTTTCCTACGTTTGGCATCTGCTGCTGATGCTGCTGCTGCCTCATCTTCTCCAACTTCTCCGCTGTTTCACTGCCAGTTATTATGCAACAGATGTTCGAAATGATATAGGTAGTATTGTTTGCCTCGACCGCAGCCAAAGTAATTCGCACCTGAAACCAGTCATTCCCAACCAGAAAGTCAACTGCGTTTCAAATGGCTAAGGTTAGCGTGAAAGGCTTTGTTTTAAGTGAGATTTTATTAAAGGCAGATTCTGGACTAGTAGGCATATATATAGCAAAAATGTATCTAGAAAATAAAACAGGATATTCAAGCTATTGCATGATTTAGTTTATTATATATATTTCTGCATTTTAATTTCTAGGAAATCGATGTCTTGACATTGGGCGCCAAAGACCAAGAATCATTGATAGCCGATCGCAACAAACGAACGATTGGACTGCTGCGCGAACTTTTCCCCGACATCACCAAGGTAAGTGCCCCATTGGGTATATTATTTATATAATATATATACATGAACCATTAGCCGTCCCCCCCTTGACCCCTCTGCCTTCGAAATGTCAGCCAAATCCATGCGTAATGCAATATTTATAGCAATCCACTCAGACACTTTTAGCCCAGGGTTTTAGGCCCCTAGAAAATGCATAAAGAAACATAAATGCCTGTTTATATGAAAGTGTATTGAATTTGAATCACATAGGAGATCAATGTGCAGATCAATCGTCTAGTGAATAATGTGTTGCAACGCGTTGGGCCCGTGGTACTGGGCACTATTCTCAATCCGGCCTTCGATGTGGGCCTCCATCCCCGGCAGCCAGCCAAAGAGGACGATGTTGGCAATGAAAATGATGGGGATGATGTGGAGGAAGGGTCCAAGGACTATGATCAACTGCCCGAGGACCTAACCGAATTCCAGCCCGATGGCGAGTTTGCCAAGGACCAAAAATGAGCAGAAGCTATTACAAAACTAAAATAGAACAAAATATTTAGCCTAAGGCTTTAACCCACAAGAAAACAAAAATTATTGGCTTGGTCCCCGTCCTCTCCTGGAAATGTGTATACCCCCAAATGTTGCATGTTTTTCTTTAGGCTTAGCAAAACGAGCACCCAACCACCCAAAAACCGCCTCCTGTACTCAGCATGCCTGCACCACCCAGTAGCAGAGGTTGAACCACCCACCCACCCAACTGCACACAACTGCACACACAGACATGAACACAGACACACAATCTACAAAACCAAAAAAAAAAAAAAACGAAAATGCACACCCACAATTGAGTTTTCAGCCTGCAAAATAGATATCATCATCCGAACAATTGGCCAAGATCATCATGAACAGTCAACAATCGACTATAAATCAGCAACAAATCAGCTACTGCATCAGCATCTCATGTGGAAAGCACCACCACCAACAACAAAACAAAAAGCAGAACCACCAAAGAATCTCATTTACCAGTAAAAACAAAAAAAAAAAATAGCAATCAAACCACATATATTTTGTTGACCTTTCGCCGATCTCTCGCCAGGAAATCGACTCCATAGTAAATCGAATTATAGCCCAGGTAATTCGGGTGGCCGGTCCTGGTCTTCTCAATAGCATATTGGCCGGAAATCGCGGTGGTGCGGGTGGTGCAGCCGGTGGCAGTACAACGCCGGCTAGCGATTTCGATGCCGATTTCGATGCGGACTTTGACGAGGATGACGATGTGGCGCCATCGAGTAGTCCGGCCACACGGAGTGCAGGCGGTGCACCACCGAGCAGCAGCAACGAGGTGGAGGAAAGCCGGCGGGTGAAGATTGATTTGCCCACATTTGCACCACAGTCGGGAGCAGGAGCTGATGAAACGAAAGGTGATGAAAGCCCAATCAACAATCAAGCATCTTCATCCCCAACAACAACCACCAGTCCCAGTAATCCAACAACAACAACCACCACTAGTAGCACCACTGGTAGCACCACCAGTAGCACCACTAGTAGCACCAGTAGTACCTCCAGTACTACTAGCACGCCAGTGGAGGATCTGCTCCAGTTGTTTCCGCGCTCCTTTGAGCCGGCAACAACCGCTGAGCCCCCGACAGCAGTAACAATAACAACGACAAGAACAACCGTTTTACCTGCAACAACCACCACCACCACCACTACCACTTCTAGCACCACTGATTTACCCCCACCAACTGAACCCACAACCACCAACATTCTGTTTCCCACCAACAACAGCATCGATGATCCACAATTGCTAACCATCATAGCCGATATCAATCGTTTATTAAATTCTACCAATTATTTTATTACAACCAGAGATAATATAACAACATCAACAACAGCAACAACAACGGCCAAAACAATTGACAACAACAACATTACGAAATTATTGCCCGTCCTTGATTGAGCATTGATAAAGACAACAACAAATACATATACGAAAGGCAAACAAGGATTTGAAAGCAACAACAACCACCACCACAACAAGAACAACAACACATACGGCTGAAGATGAAGATGAAGATGTAGATGAAGATGAAGAACAAGAGAGCACCAGCAAAACATCATTTAGAAAAAGCATTTTTGACTTTGGAGATAAGTCTCCAAGCCGAATCGGTTCAAAAGCAGTTTGTAAAGTGGTTTCGGAATTGGATTTGGAAAAATGTATACTATAAAAAGGTCGCCTATCACTAAATAATTGTAAAAGTGCAAATTACTAGATGGTTTTCAAAATCAAAACCACTTTCGAACAGCTTTGAGCCCTCGCAGCTACGCCCCGCACTCCACCATCCCATATTCCGTAGATCACACCCCTTGAATCACAAACGTCATTGTGTATTTTCGATGTGTCCCATAGGCCCCAAAGTTCCTTCGCATATAGAAACCCCGACCAAACCCTTCACCAGAAACACCCGCATTGTATGTAACCCAAAACTGAAACACTGAAGCTAACTAATCTCCCCTACCCTCCACTCCACTCCACTCCGCCCAAAACCACCTCCCCAAAACGAAATGCACCTGCACCACCGAATCTAAACTCGTGTACGCACCACTTCGATTCGTGGTTGTTGTAGCAAATCGATGAGCAGGCGAACCGCATTATCTCCAAGCTGCTGAGAACATTGGGACCCACGGTTCTGCGTACCGCCATCCAGGGAAACTCTGCAAATGCGGCCAGGACCAGTTTCGATGCGGACTTCGATGATGATGACGATGAGAGCTCCAAGAGCAGCAGCACCACCACAACAACCGGTGGGGATAGTGGCACCCGTGTGACCATCGAACTGCCCACCTTCGAACCCGATGATGACAACGAGATCGAAGCGGAAAAGAGCAGTGGCAGCAGCTCCACCAGTACCTCAACCACTGAGTCCACCTAAAGTGCGTTTCGTTTGCTACAACAACTGTGAGAAATTCGCAAAGTAATACACAGAGAGAAATATCACCAAGACGTGGCTTCAAAGCATGCCGCTGAAATCTTAAACGTTTCTAAGTTGCTTTTTAAGTGTGCAGAAAAATGTAAATTCTATAAATTCATTTGAAAATATGGCATTTCATTTTTCACTGCACACTTTCAGACTTCTGTGATTGAATTCAAAAGCTTAGAAATGTCACTGGCACGCCTGTTTGCAACTTTCGGTTGATATTCCAAAACTGTGTGATGAAGTACCTTTGAATTGGCATTTAAAATTGGTTTCTCTTTTCCTCAAAATTTTCTCCGCGCAGCACAACAACAGGCACACAACCACCCTCTGCAAAAATTGATATAAATATTAAAGGAGAATGATAAAATGAAAGTGAAGTTCTCATTGAATTGGCATTGCTAACCAACACTTGATTGTTTTGAAATTACCTTTAGCACACTGGTTTTCCGAACACATGCATATTCACCAGTCTTCTTTCTCCCTCTCTTTCTCTCTCTCTCTCTCTGTTTCTCTTTCTCTCTCTCTCTCTCTTGTTTCCAACCTTCATGCCTTTGCCTCTCTCGCTCGCTCTCCGATCTCCTCTCTCTTTTCCGCTCAGCGCTCCTTTCCATCTCCCTCTTCAACTTTCCTTTGCATCCACTTTTACTGTATTTTATATATATGTACTATATTTTCTGTTGCAACCTATCCTGCCTTCTCATGCGCACCCTCATTCCACTTAGGTTAGTAGGTGTTTTTTTAAAATTAAAATTTATATATTCTACATTTATATTGTATTAGTTTTGTAAGTCATCTTTTAATACATTTCCAAATATACCTATATAATTGTATCTTCTGCGACTTTTTGCTCAAAACCGATATTTCACGTTTTTAGTGATCTCAAAACTTTACAAATGGTGTCTAAAGGCATGCATCGTTGTATATACCACATTTAATAATCCCCTACCTGCTTTAAGACACTTTTTTGAGAGTTTTGAAATACCTAGAGATTTCAGAACCCCCCTAAAAAGATCCATACACACTTTTGGTGCCCAGACAGACTCGAAAAAAGCGTATAAAATACCCATTAATCTCCATTGGTCACTGTTGATGCAAAGGTCACTTGTAGGTATGGTTGGGTGTTTTTCTTACTACAGAACTCGTCTGTACACTCACCACACTTTCGAGTGCATTCACATACTTAGCTATCTTTGCGATCATCCCCAGAAATATATTCGATACTCAGTGTACTCATTTCCGCACTCATTTTCGCCGTCCTCGTTTTTCCGCCCGCCGCAGAATAAAGAAGCAAAAACAAAAGAGTTGACAAGGATTTTCATTAATTTTTTGTTGGCAAAAAAAGAGATTCAATTGTTATCTTTTTGGAAACTTAACGCTTAAATATAAACCCAAGGAAGCGTAAACGATAGTCGATGTCTGATAAAGTGGATTTCTAGACTAAGCGCTCCTCTCTAACTCTCTCTATCTCTTTCAATCTGTGCTGTCTCGCTCCTTTTGTTTTTCTCTTTTGCTTATTTTTGTATCTTTTTCTCTTTATTTTCATGTTCCATTAAAACCCGATTCGATTTGTGCAATGCAAATAACTCACCACCAAAACAATCAAATCAAATCAATCAAAAATTACGAACAACGATCCACCGAAAACTGATAACCGATAACTGATAACCGATTACGATAACTGACAACCGCAAATGTATACACAAATACATCGAACGCATTTGTGCACGTATTTGATAACTGCCCATCAATTAATCGATCGATTTCGAAACCACAATCGACAACAAAAATCGCCTGTGCAAATGATCAACCAAAACCACCTAACCTCTTTGTCTCCACCTAACCTCACATTCACCCTAACCTCACAAACAATAAAATAACCTCACTTTTCGTGAACTCACCAAATCCAAAAACACTGAAAAAACAAAAACAACAACGAAAACAAAACGAAACGAAACACACACAAAACATACTGTTGAACACACATTACTCGTCTCCAAATCCTACGCTTTGCCTTTCCCTCCACCCCTTCACCTTGGGCTTTCCCACAACCCCTTGAACAACCCACTATTTCCCCCTCCTCTTCCTCCCCTTCCTCCCCTTCCCACCACACGCACATAATCAACCTTAAAATTCCAAATTTCTAAACATACACGCACAATAAAAAACAATGCAACAAATGCCCTACCAAAAAAAATCGCAAAAAATCAAATGACAAAAACCCAAAACAAAAAAAAAACCCAAAAGAATGGAGCCACCGATACCCAGATCGATTTGTCGGCCATCAACAAGCAATTGGAGGAGACGATCCGAGTGGCCCGCCAGGTGAAGGAGGCGGAAGCAGCCGCCGCCGCAGTTGCTGCCCAGTCCCTGTCCCCATCCTCATCCTCCGCCTCCTCGCCGGTCGCCCAGGCGCCCATTCCCCTCAAATCCAACGAGCCCATCCAGCTTAGCTTCAACAACGAACTGTCCAATGTCTCGCCGTCCTCCGGTTTGAATGAAAAGGCCCTGAGCACCAATGATCTGCAGCTCTCCGAGTCCAAGTCGCCGGCGATCGATGAACTTACCCTAGACTCTGCGGAGGAGACCGCCGATCTGGACGATCGCAACAAGAGGTAAGTGAAGGACTGAACCTGCTTTTGTTCAAAATGTAAGCCTCCTATATTGGTACCTAAGTGCATGGCTTATTTATGAAATAGTATTCAAAACACTTGTACAAAATAAAGCTGGGAACTCAACTAATCATACACTTTCCCTCCCTTTTCACCCCCACAACAATTCAACAACAACAACTCTACAATGGTTCAACAATACTCAATGCATTGGAAATGCACTGATAAATTGGAAACAAATCAAACATAAAACAAAATTCAACAACAAATGAACAACTCATAAATATTAATTAATATTAAAACTACTCAACAACATTTGCATCACACTGAACAACCAACAAATACGAATGGAATTGCTGTCGTGCCTCAACAACGAAATTCAACAACATACTAATATCAATAACATGCGTAACGTTTGACTTGATAACTCCACATATGACACATATGATTTCAAATGGAATGGCCTCACCAATAGTAATCTGTTCAAAAGGTTCCTCAGCTTCGGCGGAGCGGGTCTGGCCGGTGGCTCAAGCGGCGGTGCAGGAGGTTCGCCCAGTGGCAATGCTCTGGGAGCCGGCGGCTCCGGCAACTTCCTGCTGGACGTGGTGAGGGTAAGTACCGCCCACACTGGCTGCACTTCACCCATTTCCCAGGCGTCTAATTGGTACACTTTGCTTCCCCACAAACAAACAGCTCTTTTCGGGCAGTGTTCAGACCCAGCAGGGCGATGAGGCGGCCAACTCGGTGGGCGGAAGTGCCAGCAGCAGCAGTAGCAGCGGCAGCTTGGGCGGCGATGGGGATGCGGATGGCGATAGTACTCGCAACGCCGATGGCTACACCGAGGGCATTCCCGGCCCGGTCACGCGCCTCGTGGTGCTGGCCAATCGCGGTCTGGCCAATCTCGTCCAGGACTTGATTCTGGTGAGCACATACATATCTATGGCTTTATGTGTCACGCATCTAACGACATCTTGATTGGCTTCCCTCTTGCAGCGCGTGGCGGCCACCAGCGAGAAGTTCGTGAACTTCAAGGCCAAGCTGATAACGGCGCTGATCTAAGGTCAAGGGTCAGCAACGGCCACGCCCTCGGCCTCGCCCTCGCCCGAATTAGTCAAGTCACCAACCTGTACAGAGTCAAATGCAGCAGATCATCCTCTCTCTGTCTCGCTACCACCCCCTCTCTCTATCCCTCTCTGTCTAACCCCAGAAATAAGCCCCTTCCCACTGCCCCAAACACCCACTCACACACCCACTCACACACACACACACGAACACGGCCACTCACTCACACGTAGAGAATTTTGTTGTGCATCATTCGAACAAAGAAATTTCCCGGCAATGTCAACATCTTTTTTTAAATTCATAGCAAATTTTTTTTATAACAAAAACGAAATTAGTTGACAGAACTAAAAACAAAAAAAATATAAAACTGTAAGCAAAATTGGAAGAAGAAGAAAAACACGAATCAAAGAATTTTATTTATATGTATCAATAAAAGAACAAAATCGAAGCGAAAGTATGAAAACAACATTCATATGTGTATATGTATAGAAAAGAAACGCCTGATAAAATTATTCCTGCCCTAGTACTATATCTCTGTATCTCTATTTTCCCTTACCCGCCTATCCATATCTTTATGATTTCCCACGGCTTTTGTAAATATTTTGCTATTTGCAAATTTCCCCCCACCACTTTTCCTCATCTTTTCCCTAATTTGTATTGCCCTCTTCACTCCTTTTTGTGTATATTTTGTGTTCTATTAAAAAATCATGACTGTGGTGTTTTATTTACTATTATTTTTAATTATTTTAAACGAAAACGAAACGAAGAAGATGAATGTGAATGTGAAGATAATGATGATGATGATGGAGAAGATAGCGAAGTGGATGCAGAAGACACGTCAAGTTTCTATTAGATGAAATGTAGCCGAGCTTAATGTTTTTTTATTTGCTATTGTTGGTCAAAGAGCCCCAAAAACACCCATACACAAACACGCACATTCACTGAAGCATACTCAATATATAAAACCGATTCGATATGCCCATTATATATATAGAACCGTTCTTGTTCAACTCCTGTGTCCCCTGGATTTGTTTGTAACCCCAATAATCCTAAGCGAATTGTGTTTTTCTCACTATGATTTTTTTCTAGCTAGCTAAGTGAAACTTTCGAAAAATGTGTATAAAATTAAATAAAATGATTATAAATATTTCATTTTCCGTGCATTCTTTTCTAATAAAAATTAAAACTTATTATTTTAGGAGTACACATTTTTGGGAGGATTACCAAAAGAATTTTCCATTACCATTTTCCACAGCAAATTATCAATGCTAACGACGCCTTGAGCGATTTATTGGATTTAGGAAAAATAATTTCTAAGCACTTATTTGCAAACAGATCTCAAAAAATTAAAATCCTCACTTTTAAATACAGTTTTATTGGAAATTTATTACGAAGTCAGCGAGATATGGCATTCCATAGGCAGACAATTATTTTTAAGATTGTGGCCAAAAAACTAATAATTTTTTGACCGAAATTAAAAAAAGGAATTTGGCAAAAATTGAAATTTTTTAGATGGGCATTTTAATCATAACTTGGCCAAAAATGATCGTAGAGATGAAAGAATAACTGTTTTGAGCAGCTAATTACCAAATCTAACCATCCCTGCAACTTTTTGACGGATTTAGGAAAATTAATTTTTTTGTCAATTTTTGCATTTTTTGTAAGGGGTAACATCATAAAAATTTGATAAAAATGGCAAAAAATTAGCGTTCCCTTTTTTGAACACAGTTCGATTGGAAATTTAATTACGAGCTCAACGACGTATAACATTCCATATTCAGGCAATTATTTTAAAAGTTATGGCAAAAAAACTGATTGTTTTATGACCGAAATTGGAAAAATCGAATTTTGGCAAAAATTGAAATATTTTAAATGGGAATTTTAATCATAACTTGGCCAAAAATGATCATAAAGATGAAAGAATAACTGTTTTGAGCAGCTAATAACCAAATCTAACGACCACTGTCACTTTTTGGCGGATTTTGGAAAATTAATTTTTCGGTCAATTTTTGCTTTTTTTGTAAGGGGTAACATCGTCAAAATTTGCAAAAAAAGTCAAAAAATTAGCATTTCCATTTTTGAACACAGTTCGATTAGAAATTTAATTACGAGCACATCGACGTATAACATTCCATATTCAGACAATTATTTCAAAAGTTATGGCAAAAAAACTGATTATTTTATGACCGAAATTAGAAAAAACGGATTTTTGCAAAAATTGAAATATTTTAAATGGGCATTTTAATCATAACTTGGCCAAAAATGATCGTAAAGATGAAAGAATAACTGTTTTGAGCAGCTAATTACCAAATCTAACGACCACTTTCACTTTTTGGCGGATTTTGGAAAATTAATTTTTCGGTCAATTTTTGCATTTTTTGTAAGGGGTAACATCGTCAAAATTTGCAAAAAATGTCAAAAAATTAGCATTTCCATTTTTGAACACAGTTCGATTAGAAATTTAATTACGAGCACATCGACGTATAACATTCCATATTCAGACAATTATTTCAAAAGTTATGGCAAAAAAACTGATTATTTTATGACCGAAATTCGAAAAAACGGATTTTGGCAAAAATTGAAATATTTTAAATGGGCATTTTAATCATAACTTGACCAAAAATGATCGTAAAGATGAAAGAATAACTGTTTTGAGCAGCTAATTACCAAATCTAACGACCACTTTCACTTTTTGGCGGATTTTGGAAAATTAATTTTTCGGTCAATTTTTGCATTTTTTGTAAGGGGTAACATCGTCAAAATTTGCAAAAAATGTCAAAAAATTAGCATTTCCATTTTTGAACACAGTTCGATTAGAAATTTAATTACGAGCACATCGACGTATAACATTCCATATTCAGACAATTATTTCAAAAGTTATGGCAAAAAAACTGATTATTTTATGACCGAAATTCGAAAAAAACGGATTTTGGCAAAAATTGAAATATTTTAAATGGGCATTTTAATCATAACTTGACCAAAAATGATCGTAAAGATGAAAGAATAACTGTTTTGAGCAGCTAATTACCAAATCTAACGACCACTGTCACTTTTTGGCGGATTTTGGAAAATTAATTTTTCGGTCAATTTTTGCTTTTTTTGTAAGGGGTAACATCGTCAAAATTTGCAAAAAAAGTCAAAAAATTAGCATTTCCATTTTTGAACACAGTTCGATTGGAAATTTTATTACGAGCGCATAGACGTATAACATTCCATGTTCAGACAATTATTTTTAAAGTTATAGCAAAAAAACTGATTATTTTTGACCGAAATTCGAAAAAACTGTTTTTGGCAAAAACTAAATATTTTAAATGGGCATTTTAATCATAACTTGGCCAAAAATGATCACAGAGATGAAATAATAACAGTTTTGAGCAGCTAATTACCAATACTAACGATCCGTATCATTTTTTGACGGATTTAGGAAAATTAATTTTTTTGTCAATTTTTGCATTTTTTGTAAGGGGTAACATCATAAAAATTTGATAAAAATGGCAAAAAATTACCATTCCCATTTTTGAACGCAGATTGATTGGGAATTTAATTACGAGCGCAACAAGATATAACATTCCATGTTCAGACAATTATTTTTAAAGTTATAGCAAAAAAACTGATTATTATATGACCGAAATTCGAAAAAAATGTTTTTGGCAAAAATTGAAATTTTTTAGATGGGCATTTTAATCATAACTTGGCCAAAAATGATCGTAGAGATGAAAGAATAACTGTTTTGAGCAGCTAATTACCAAATCTAACCATCCCTGCCACTTTTTGACGGATTTAGGAAAATTAATTTTTCGGTAAATTTTTGCATTTTTTGTAAGGGGTAACATCATCAAAATTTGAAAAAAATGGCAAAAAATTAGCATTCCCATTTTTGGACACAGTTCGATTGGAACTTTAATTACGAGCGCATCGACGTATAACTTTCCACGTTCAGACAATTATTTTAAAAGTTATGGCAAAAAAACTGACTTTAGAGAGGATTTTTGTGTGAAAAATACGCTATCAAATGCGCTTGTTTGGCTAAATGAATTTCGTAATTTTGCCATCCAAATTGTACATTCAAACAATTAAACAACGACAAATTATTGCCAAGCATTCCAAAAATTATTAATTGTGAGAAATGTTTTTGGGCAATTAACAAACGTTTGCAAATATTTTAACAATTTTGCAGTGAGTTGGTTCGTTGCACACCCTCTCGATTTTCTCGAATCTGGTTTATAAATATCTGGATTATCCATCTCGGCACATTCCACACAAAACTGCGTTGCATGAGTGAGCAAGTGAATAAGTGACTGACTGACTGAATGACTTACTGTAACGCATGCGTGGCATGTGTGCGGTCCAGAAAAACCAAAAAGAAAAACTAAAAATAATATGAAAAGAAGTGGAGGAGGGGAAGGTCAGGGCCTAAGTGCCACTTCCGTTTTCCACAAGCAAACAAACAAATTGGCCCAACAAATCGCCGATGGACAAATGGACAAATGGACAAATGGGTATGGATATATAGATGTTACTTATCCTTGGTTCGCCGGCCACTTGATGCACAATTAGTATCGCACAAGTGCCCAGCATTCTTCACTTGTTTTGACAAGTGCACACATTTAGCGAAGGAAACGCACTCGTTATTGTTTCCCATCTTCACGCACAATTTGTCGTCACTAGCCGATGACTTAATTCATTTAGCAGATCCCAAATGTGCAGCCGGGGGATATGGAAGTGGATATAGGCATGGAATCGGCCGGAGCGTCCGCTCAGTTGCTCGCCAATCGCCGCGGCTAACGGATGGCGATCTCATCAGCCTCATCGTCGTTGTCCAACTACTTGATGGCGGTATTTGCCCAGGATAGCAATAGTAGTGGCAGTGCCAGTGCCAGCGGAAGTGGAGCAGCCGCCGATTCGGAGGACTCCCAAATTGGTCAGGAGGCCCTTCCTGGTGGGCAGGAAAATCAGGGGCATCACAGGAGGCGACCGCCGCGCCAGAAGATCAATGCAAGGGAGCGCTACAGGACTTTTAAGTGAGTGAATGTCTTACTTTTAAATATTTGTAATTTTGCTTATCAATTAATTTTCAAAAAAACAGTGTTAATTCCGCCTACGAAGCATTGAGAAATTTAATACCCACGGAGCCCATGAATCGCAAGCTTTCAAAGATCGAGATTATCCGCCTGGCCAGCAGCTATATAACGCACCTCAGTAGCACCCTGGAAACAGGTTGTTTAAAGAAACGCAAGGCACATAGAAGTGAACTAATTTGTTTAAATTTTTTAGGAACTGAATGCCAGCCGTGCTTGCTGCACAAGTACGAGAGCGAAGGAATAACTAGACGTATCAGCATCTGCACTTTCTGCCTGAAAACCAAGTGAAACTATTAATTAACTGCATATATTTAGGAATTTTGTTCTATTTCGTCGTATCTGTTGCATTTAAAAACTTTTTTGTTTAGTTTCAAAGTGAGCACCACCTATGTTCATTTACTGGAACTAAGTGCCTGCAAACGTGAACTGCTTGCCATGGCAGAACTGCTTTTCTAAACCATTGTATTTCGCCCATCATTTCGATCTCTTAATTATAATATAAAAATAAATTTAGTGTTAACAAAATCGATTCAAATGTCACTATATTGGCAAGGCAGTTTGAGTAAGTATTCCACAGCAACACAAATAATTTTACATTTGTCGCTCAAGTGTCGCCATCTGTCCGGATGTTTGCTACAACTGCAACACGTGCGCTGATTAGAGATGTCTAAGGTAAATAGCTAAATCAAAACCATAAAATATATACAAATATTTAATAATAAAACCGGAATTGAATTGAACGCTGTGTATTAAATAACCTCTATTAATGCAAAATATTTGTCGTGGTAATATGTTAGTGATAGAAGCAGATTTTAATTTACCTAGAATAAGCCAACAAATGTAAAACTCGCGAAAACTGCAAACTAGCTAAAAAGCCACACAGCCGCGGTGGCCTGCTAAGTATTTTACCACATCTGCAAAGCGGGCACACTTTTCCCGCCAAAAGCATTTCTACGCATTTAAATAAAGTGAATAATTGTATTTTACAATATCAAAAAGCCCCTTCGATGGCCACAAAACGTGTGCTGACGCCCAATAAAGCGGAGAATGACAACGCAGGCGTGACGTCATCCAATCCGCAAAAGAAGTTCAAGGAGCAACTGGATTTCACGTCGGACGATCTCGAGAACATCGATTGGGGCGATAATGATGACTTTGATTTGGCGGTGATTGGGGCTATGGATTCGATATCCAACCACCGCTTGGAGCTTGCCCAGTGGCAGCGTTGCGAAGTGGTGCAGGTGGAGCAGCTGCCCATGAGGAAGGGCCTCAAATTGCATGTGAAGAGGATTTCTGGCGGGGATGCGGAGACAGCTGTTTGCCACCTGCTGCCCCCGTGGAATGGCATGCCAATGCAAGTTGGGGACACTGTCTCCCTGTTGGGCAAGTGGGAACCATCTGCAGGATGCTATGTGGTCGATAAGGAGCAGGGCTACTGCGTGTCGCATCCAGATTTCCTGATTTCCGGCACCACAGTCACCGGTTCCTTGTTTTGTAAGCGGAAATCTGTTCTGCAGGAACGTTTTCGAGGTCTGGACTCGGGAAGCTCTGTTGTAAGTACATCACGATATCAGCAAAACCCGCTTATGCCAAATGTATTCCTTTTCAGATGGTCATTGGCACTCTGGTGCACGAATTACTGCAAAAGGTTCTCCGCCAGAAGCTCTTCGATAAAAAACACATCCAAGCTGCCCTCCAGGAGATGCTGACCAGCTCCTCCTTGACTCATCTACTCTATGCCAGCAATCTCAGCCAGGTGGAAATGAAGGACCATCTGCTGAAATTCATTGATCCCATTGTCAGTTTTGTGGCCCAATATGTGAAGGGTGAAACGCCAAGTGTTTTGCTGCCTGAAGTTCATCGCGTTCGCATCCACGAGATATGCGATATAGAGGAGAACCTCTGGGTTCCCCAACTGGGACTCAAGGGCAAGGTGGATGTCTCCGTGAAGGTGAAGAATCAACGGCAGAGGGAAGAGATCATACCATTGGAACTCAAGACCGGTCGAGCCAGCTTCTCCATGGAACACAAGGGCCAACTGCTGCTCTACCAACTGATGCACTCTGCCCAGGGCAGAGATACGCAGTCGGGATTACTTCTGTACCTCAAAGAGGGACTCCTACGAGAAGTTGCCAGCGGGCGAAACGAGCAGAGGGATCTCCTAATGCTAAGAAATGATCTGGCTCACTGGCTAACGCGTGAAGTAGCCATTCCGGCTGGCAAGGAGGATCCACTGCAGCAGCTGCCGCTACCCGAACCCGTTTACCATCACAGCGCCTGCGGCAATTGTGCATACAATACCATTTGCTCCAGTTTTGCTCAGAATGATGCAAGCTTACAACTAAGCGAATCACATCCCCTCAAGAAACTGATGCCTCAACTAATAGGGCATCTCAGTGAGGCAGATCACGCCTATGTGCAGCATTGGTGCGGTTTGCTGGCTCTAGAAGAGCAACACAATCGTCAGTCCTGGCAAGCGAGGTCTCTTTGGACGGAGGACCCCGCGAAGAGAGAAAAAGAAGGCAGAGCCGTTCGACATCTGAAGCTAGTGAAGGGGCAAAAGGTGGTATTAGAAGAGGGACGCTATCGCCAGAGCTTGGAGCTCGGTGAAGAGGCAGATCCCAGTCGAGATCTCAGCCTCAGTGGGGTACGTTTTGTCCCAATCCCCACAGATCAGTTTCCTCTTATCTCTACTCTTTCTTTCAGTTCGACTTGGGTGAGTATGTGGTTATCAGTTCCACTTCCCGTCTGGCCGTGGCCTCTGGTTTTATTGTATCCATAGAAGCTCGTAGTTTGGATCTTCGCCTGGAGCGAGATCTTAGCCAGCGTTACGGCCAGGAGACCTTTATTATGGATAAACACGAATCGCAGAGCTTTGCCACTTTCAACTTTACCAATCTTGGTATGCTGCTCTCCGACGGAGAGCGTTTCCAGGAGCTGAGAGATATTATTGTGGCCAAGAAGCCACCAGAGCAGCACAAAGTTCTGCCCAAGATCATTCTCACCAAAGGGGCACCCATGCTGCTGCAACTAAACAAAGTACAACAAAATGCTGCCTTGCGTGCTTTGACAACCAGCAGCCACCTGTTGATTAAGGGACTGCCCGGCACCGGTAAGACCCAGACTTTGGTTTCCCTCGTCAGACTGCTCCATCTCCTCGGCAAAAGTGTGCTTATTACAGCCCAAACGCACTCGGCGGTGGACAATCTCCTCGTGCGTTTGCTGCCTTTTGATTTGCCCATGATGAGATTGGGTTCGAGCTCTAGAATCCATAACCAGTTGGTGGAAATCAGCGAAGATAGCCTAACGAAAGATTGTAAAACAGTAGAGGATTTGGAGAAGGCTCTACAGCAGCCTTCCATTGTGGGAGTGACTTGCCTGGGAGCTGGACATCCGCTCTTTCAGCGTCGTCAGTTCGATTATTGCATCGTGGATGAGGCCACGCAGGTGTTGCAGCCCACTGTGCTGCGTCCACTGATTCACTGCAGCAAATTCGTCCTTGTTGGAGATCCAGAGCAGTTGCCCCCAATTGTCAGATCTAGGGAAGCCCGTCAGAGGGGAGCGGATGAGACTTTATTCCAAAGATTGGACTCCGATCAGGCCACCGCTGTTTTGAGTCTGCAGTACCGCATGAACAAGACCATCACCCGGCTGGCCAATGAGCTCACCTATGGTGGAGACCTGAAGTGTGCCTCGGACGAGGTGTCCGGCGCCAGGTTTGATGTCGATCTGTTGAACCAAGCACCCAGATGGGTGCAACGTGCGTTGACAACTCACTTAGAGCAGGCTGTCACACTGATAAATACAGGAGATTGCTTGGAGCGCTGCCAGAAATTCGTTGAGGCATCCCAACGGCTCGTGGAGACCTGCTCCTCCATAGAGCAACACTTTGGCGAGGACAAAGACGAGATGAGGAAGCCTACAACCAAAAGGCGAGTATCCAAATACACAAACTACTGCGAAGCGGGCATAGTGATACACTTGCTCAGGTATTTACTGAAGTCGGGCTTCGAAGCCTCCAGGATTGGCGTGATAGCACCATATCGCGCTCAAGTCGAGCTACTCAAGAAGCTTGCCTCCAAACTGGACACCGACCTGGAGTGCAACACGGTGGATCAGTTCCAGGGCAGGGATAAAAGCCTTATCATATACAGCTGCTCCAAAACAGGCGGTGGTTTCACCGACATGGAACGCTCGCGCGAGGCAGAGATCCTGGAGGATCAGCGCCGTCTAACCGTGGCTATTACCCGTGCCAAGAACAAGCTCATCCTACTGGGCGACATTCAGTGCCTGGAGCAATACGGTCCCTTCCGGCGCCTCTTTAAGCACATCCCGGACAGGTGTCGGCTCAAGTTGGAAGAGGGCCGCATGGAGTTCGGCTGGCAGCGCATCCAAGAGGATATGGCTGGTCTATTGGACACCTAGGTAATTGCTTTATATATACTATTACTTTTTTTTTTGTATTTTTTACGTGGCTTGTTGAAGAAGGGCATTTTTGCTAGCATTTAATGTATACAATGCATAATGATTATAGCCAGTTTATTTATTCAGTTAAATGTTGAGGGTTCTTGCTATTACATCTAATTCTAAATCAATCTGAGAGAGTTCATTGCCTCACTTTTGAGGAGAAGACATTTTCTGTAAGACCCCTCAATAAAATCCTTTACTACACTGTTATTAAGCCGCATTACTAGGGCTTTGTTTGTTTAAAGATTTTTTGTAATCCCTTAATCCAGAAAATAGCTTTATGAACTATTTTCCCACATGGCAGTCTTTATAGTCACACATATATGCACTTTTCCCTGGCCGTGGTTCGTGTGTGTTCCCTCTCCTGGCTGCCACCTTCCCACCTTCTATCCCAGTCCCGAAAACCTGCCCCTTCCAAGCGGAAGTTGGGCACCTCGAGGTCTGAGCTGCTGCTCTGCGTGCCCTGAATATATGTATGTGGGTATACACGTGTATATAAAACATATGGAGTGTTGTGAGGGGAGTGGGGGTGGAGGGGGGCACTTGCAGCGGATGCATTTAACAGCCAGGAGCGAACGTGAGTCATCCTTGAGATGATTATCGTATCATTATCGTCATCATCCATGCAGGTGTGTTATGTTCGCCTGGGCGAATGGCAGTTACCAAATGCGAGATTGATTGCCCTCAAAAGCGGGAAAGGCTAAAGCAGAAATAAAAACGAAACCAAATGAAATGAGAAGACAGCTCTAAAAATGGGAAATAACTAAGAGGGTAAGGCAGACCAATCAAATACCCTATGGAATTGCCTAAATTTAGCTAAATTTAGTTGCAAACGCAGTTTTGGGTCTCCAATGGAGGAGTTTAAGAGGAAAAACTGGAATCTCTAGGACATTTTACCAAAGTTTGGGTCACCATGCGTGGTTAGTTGTGCCACAAAGCCCAGCGACCCCGCCAGGAGTCCGAAAACACCAAAAAACCATTGGGGAGCAGAAAGCAGAAAGCGGGCAAAGTCAGATGGATGCGAGTGTATGTGGAAGATATATGCTGGTGAGTGGGGAGTGGGGAGTGGGGAGGGGGAAGGGGGGTAGCAGCAGGGTGGGGAAGGGGAAGAGCAATAACAGTAACAGCAACAGTCGGCGGGGCAAAGACAACAACACTAATGGGCATAAGCAAATCGCTTGATAAAATATTTGAAATTCATTTCGCGCCGCCGCTTGGCAGCCGTTGGCATTTCGATGACAGCATTTAATGCTTATTATGTAAACTCTTTTTCTCTGGCCGGCCATTCGGGTATTATTCGGTATTGGGTATTGGTTATTGGGTATTGGGTATAGGAAATTGGGAATGGTGTGCAGCAGAGTGGAGTGGAGTGGAGTGGAGAGTGGGTCCAAAACAAAGGTCAGCCACAATATTATTGGGCGCTGAATTGATTTTGAGTTCCGGCCCAGCCCAAAATGTGGTTTTTTTGAAACACTTGTGTGTGCGCAACAAATTAAGCCCATTAAGCATCTTCGAGCAGCAGCAGCAGCAACAACATCACCCATCACCTGTTGCAATAGATTGAACACTCCAATCCCAATCCGAAGATGATCCACAAAAGCTGGCTTAAATCTGTGGGAAGATGCTGGCTGGTGGGCATTAACTTCGCGCACATTTCTACCGAAAATTGCACAAATTTAACTTAATCGCTTATGATTGTACTTATGAGAAACGCTTTGAATCGAAATTAGCCAATTAGACACCTTCAAACTTGGCTATTGATGGGCTATTTGCGCCATAATTGAAAGTTATAAAATAGTTGAATTTGACATTAAAAGTAAAGAAGCATTGCTCGTTTTAAAATAAGATTGCCATTTAATTAAGCTATTTTCAATATAATTTTAGAAACACATTTTCTAGCGTGCTCATATTCATTTAAAATATACTCCTCTATTAAATATATTTTCAACAAATCGCTGTCATGGCTAAATCAATTTATTTAAATTCATTTCGATCTGTGTGTTTTAAGGGGAATCACCTAAGCTAAGCCCTTTTCAACATTTAATCAATATCAATTAATCATCATATTATATTAAACTATTAATATATCTCTAATATCTGTAGAAAAAAAAAGAAAATGCCCTTTATGAAAAGCTACAGCTAGAATGTCTTGCGCAATACAATATCCATTTACTCGATTATGGCCAGCAATTAGTGACCGATTTCACTGCCATTTAACGCTAAAACCGCAAAACTGTGTTCATAATTGATATTTTTTCTGGTCATGAAGCAAATTAAAGCAAAGCCATTAGTTTTTTCATTTGTTGGTTTGTTCGCTTGTAATTTTTAGGGCCCAGAAGTGCGTTTTGTTTGCAGCGCTTTTGTGCTTTAACGTGTTTCTCGCCTGCTGGCGGCTGGCAGTGGTTAACTTGGCCAAAAGTGCCATGTTAACTGGTTTAACAGAATTCAACAGGCTTTTGCGGCTGCGCAGCAACTGGTTGTTTGGTGTTGCTAGTTGCTGCTGCTGCTGCTTCTGCTGCTTCTGCTGCTGTTGCTGTTGCTGTTGCTGTTGCTGCTTGGCCTCTGTTATGTCGCATGTTGCTGGTTTCTGGTTGCTGTTGGCCACGCTTTTTGGCCACCAAACGGATTCAGTGCAGCGGCGACTCTCGAACGGTATTGTTGGCTTTAGCGGTAACTCGCCATTGGCCGTGCATACGAAAAAAGATACTCTGTTTATAGTCAATGGTTTTTTTTCAATTTTTTTTCTCGAATTGTTAAATTGTTGCCTTCGTTCGTGGCTGGAACTTTTCTTGCATTTTTTGCTTTTCTGTTTGGCTTGGTACTTTTGTTTTTTTTGTTTCTTGTTCAATTTGCGTGCCTCGAGTGAATGTGGATAATTTGGCAGATAGTTTTTTCTGCGATTTGATATGTGTGCGGATTTAGTTATTCAGTTATATTGGGCTAAAAAGAGTGCCGCCGACGCCGACGCCGCCGCGCCTGGCCGAAAGTGAAAAACTGAATGCGCAGACGTGTGTAACAGTTTTTACTTTCGGCCTGGTTTTCTGCCATTTTTTTTTTTGGCATCTCTAGCAGTTGCTGTTTGAGTTGTTTTTGTTGCTATTGCTGCTGGGAGGCAGTGGAGCATTTAGCCAAGATCTGTGCAGATTGCATAAAAAACAGACACACCGCAGCAGCAGCAGCAGCAACAACAGCAGCAACTGCTAACTGCAACCGCATTTAGCCCAGTTTTCTGAGCAAATATTTTCCAAAAGCTAACGACAAAAAAATCTCACACTAAATCTTAGCGTTATTTTTTCCTCCTCGTCGTTGTCGTCGCGTTTAACTCTAATTATAACAACAACAACAACGAGAGCAGCAGCAACAGCAGCAGCAGCAGCAACAGCAACAGCAGCAACTTCAGCAGCAGCAACAACAACATCTAGCCCAAAGGAGCCTTGTATTGCCACCTCGACCAGCAAAAAGCCGCCAAAATGCTTCCGGTAAGTGATTGCAACGATATATAAAAAAGAAAACAGAAAAAATCCACAAACAACTCTCGACATTAACTGCAAAACTGAGAAATCATTTTTATTTCGCATTTTTGTTTCTTTTTGCCGCCTTTGTGGCCTGCATTTTGTACGCAATTAGCGCAAATCTGGCGAAAAGTAGTAAATATTTAGTCCACGTCGGCCTTATCGACTGGATTTCCTGGCCCCATAAAAAGGTGCTGCGGTTGGCTTTTTCTTCATATCTCGCTTAAAACAACCTTGGCAGGATTCGCGCTCGAAAGGTGTTATCCTTGCCCAGGGCGGAAAAAAAAACATGAAATAAATAAGCGAAATATCAGGAAAGATCAGCAAACTGGTTACTTTTCGTTCTCGCTGATTTGAATAATTCATGGAGGCCGTGATTTTGATTTCGATTTCGTTTGCCTGGTTTAACTTGATATTAAAATGTCTCTCTTAGATGATTGCATAATTAATTTGTGTGACACATCGTGCTGGGCGCGAAGAATTAATCAGAATATGAGTTTCCGACGCGTTAAGTAGCTTCCATCAAAAGTAAAAGTGCAAGGAATTCGTTTTTGTAGCTTAAGTAGTTCTGCCCACTTGAATTGGCTACCCGCTGGAATTTTAATAATTATCTGAGCTTTGTTTTTAAAGGAACAAAAGTAGTATTTTCAAAAATGTTTGAAATTCCAAAGCAAATAGATCAAGATTAGCTGTCCAGATCTAAAAGAATCTTAACGACTTATTCAATTATGTATTTTGTATTAACATATGAATCCGAATCAAATATTTTATGGTTTATTTACACTAAAACTCATAAATACTAGCTTGGACTGCCTTTGATTATTATTTGAGCAATTTGATGAATGCTTGATTACTTATCATTCAGATGGGAAATTCCGCAAAAAGTGAGAGGAATGAGGGATGCACGCCTACGTAAATTGGTCTAAAAATCATTTTTACGATCTCGCAGCTTATGTAATGCCAACAACTTTCAACCGATTAACACCTTTGAAGACGTCAAAGACGTCCACGATTGCAATTCCCATGCTAATCGAAGCGATCGAGTGCAAAACTCAAAATCCAAAACTTTCAAACACGAACCAAAATCGCTGGAAGATACATTGCACGCATATTAAAAGATGATGGTGCCTACTTAATGCTTTTTAGAGATACATCCCAGACTTTTACCATTTTACAATTTCACTGGCTCGGGGCCCAAATCGAATCGAAATGAGGCTCTACATCCGCTTGGACCTTCGATGAGGCATAGATTTCTGGCCCGAACCTATGGGATTTCTGTTGCTCATGCAAATTTGCTGCTTGCTGCTTGCTGCGCATGCGCATAAAACCCGTTTAGGAATTGTGTTATTTTGTTCATGATGGCCCGGGTTTTTGTTATTTTTGTCAATTTTCGGCTTGAACTTAGTTTATTTTCGGCCACGTTTTTCTGTGGGTCCGCGGGGGCGAAACGAGTTTTGGCGACAAGTGCTGCTAAGACTAGCCAAAATGATGAGACTCCTCTCCGCCAATCCGCTTGACGTCAGGCCGCAAAAATGCGTGAGAAGAGGAAATCGTCTTCGGCTTTTGTTTTCTTCAATAAATAAAAAAAATAGTAAAAAAATCAGGCGGAAATCGGCGGCCCAGCCCCAGAAAATAAGCCAGCGAAAATAGCAATTCACAAATTCATGCAACGGCAAAACTGCAACTGCAACTGCAACATTGTAAGTT